TGGCTGAAGGATATCTTGGTTGTTTCCAACTTATGGCAATAATGAATAAAGCTGCTATAAACATCTGTGTGCAGATTTTTGAAGGGACATAAATTCTCATCCCATTTGGATAAATACCAAGTAACATGATTGCTGAATCAGATGGTAGGGTATGTTTAGTTTTATATGCCTTTACATTAAAAAGTTATATAGTTTTCTGAGAAAACATGCAGTAGTTTTTTGTTAATATATTTCTAGGTGCCTTATAATTTCTGCTGCTATTGGAAATATTATCATTTTATCGTATTTTCCTGTTTCTTGTTAATTGTTAATTGAATCCTCATTGCTAATCCAATGAGGATTCAATAAGAATTGTCTTGATTTGCATAGGATTATCTAGTATTCAGCAATCATGCCAAATATTCTTATTAGTCTTAATACTCTGCAGGTAGATTTCTTTATATTTCAGATTGAAAATAAATCATATACATTAAGGATGGTGTTAACTTTTCCTTTCTATTTCTTAAATCTTTTTTCTTTTTATTATTTTATTACATTAGCTGGAAATGCCAATAAAATTGTGAATAAAGAGCATTCTTATGGGGCTTTTTTTTATAGGAACACAATAGTTTCACCCTTAAGGATGATGTTTAGGTAGTTGGTAAATAGCCTTATGTTGGTAAATAGCCTTATGAGGTTGATGTATTACCATACTAATCTTAATTTGCCAAAATTAAGAAAAAGATGAGTCTTTAATTTCATCAAATAATTTATATGCATTTATTAAAGTAATCATGTGCTTTTAACCTTTTAATGTATTAAGGCTCAGAATAAAGGAATTATTTCCCTTGTGTTAAACTATCCTTGCATTTTTGGCTAAACTCTACTATACATTTCTATATCTTTATATAATATGCATTTTGTTTTCTGTTTTATTACTATTTAAGAGTTTTGCATATATAATAATAACTAAGCTTGTTTTATCATGTTCTCAGCTGTAATTGCACTTGCCTGGGCTTGATGTCAAGGTTACACTATAGCTATTAGAAAATGAGTTAAGTAGCTTTCTCTCTCTCTTTTTTAAATTTCCTAAATCAGTTTGTATAAAACAGGTTGTGTTTAGTCAGGGCTCTCCCAAGAAACAGAACCAGTAGGATGTGGGGTGTGTGTATAGAGAGAGAGAAGGAGAGAGAGGAGAAGGAGGGCGAAGGGGAGAGGAAGAAAAGAGAAGAGAGGAGAGGAGACGAGACGAGACAAGATGAGACTTTTTATAAGAAATTGGCTCACAAATTTTTGGAGGGTGAAAAGTCCCAAGATTTGCAGTTGGCAAGCTGAAGACCCAGGAGAGCTGATGTATAGTTCTATTCTGAGTCTGAGGGCCTCAGAACCAAAAGGATTGATGGTATAAATTTCCGTCCAAAAACCAGTGGACTTGAGACCCAGAAAGATCAGATGTTTCAGTTGGAGTGAGAAAACCAGAAAAGGCCAATGTCTCAGCCCAAACAGCCAGGCAGGCCCAGTGCTCTCTTACTCAGCCTTTTGGTTCTAGTCAGGACTTCAGCTGATTGGATGAGGTCCATCCACATTATAGAGAGTAATCTGCTTACTTAATCAACCAACTCAAATGTTCATGTTGTCCAAAAAATACTCTCACAGGCATACCCGGAATAACATCTGAGCAATTAACTGGGCACCCCATGGCCCAGTCTAGTTGACACATAAATTATCCATCACATAGTGAGAATATGTTCTTTGAAGGTCTGGGAAACTCACCTATGTAATCTATTGAGACTGTTAACCTTTCTGTGTGTAATTGTTTGGGTGGGGAATTTGGCTAACTTCTTTTTCATGAGGATCACTTCTGTGGAGCCATTCTGCCCTGCAGGGACCCGTATGGGCTAGTCCTTCCTGTTTTCCTTTGAGGAAGACTGGTCTTCACTTAGTCGATGAAGACTAATAAAATCCAGGAGATTGAAGTAACCAAGAACCATGGACTATTTTATTTGTCGAAACTGCTAGCTTTCTGGCTACCCCATTTAAGGATTTGGATTTAGCATAGAAGTTACGAAGTTGTTGTTTCAACTGACCACAAGAGGGCAGTAATGGATCAAGAATGGCTACAATATACTAGGGTTAGTGCAGCTGGCATTTAGTAGATAAAAGGTAGGTTTTTCCCGTTCTTTCCAAAAGGACCCTGAGATTTATAGAAGTTAATAAACGTGTCCAAATCATGTATTTCAATACATAGAATATCCGGAATTTAAACTTTGATCTGACTACAAAATTCATTGTTTCTGGTATGAGTACAATACATAATTATTCTTTCATTCATTTTTTTTTCATTCATTTATTCACTTACTCTAGAGCAACATAACAGAGTGGCTAAAAATTCAGTCTCTGGAGCCAGACCATGTGAATTAACATTCTGGCTCCATTCCATACAAGCTAGCACTATAAGAGCTCCATGCTTCAGTTTTCTCATCAGTGTAGGGAAATATTAGGATTTACCACATAAAACTATTGAAAAAATGAAATGAGATGATACATAAAATGTGTTTGTAACAGCATCTATAGGATCATAACTATGCTTGTTCTACAATGTTCTCACCTATAATTGCACTTATTAAGTACTTAATAAATTCAAGCTATCGTTATCAACTCAACCAATATTTATAAGAGACTGCTGTGGTCCAATACCACTGTTGGAGGAACTGGGGATGGATGGACCACACACATGCATTATACAGATGTCCCTGCTTCCTGGAGCTTACATTCAAGAGAGGGAGATCAACAATAAACAAAATTAGAAAATTTTTGTATTTTTCTCAGTCGGAATAATGAAGATGGCCAAAAATAAAGCAAGAAGCGGGGATGGGGGTTGCTGGGCTGGAGGGCAGAGACGCCTGGGGTGGAAATTAATTCCTGCTTCACTTCTCAGAAAGTCCTCACCCTTTTCATCCCCACAAGTTGGAGTGCAGTTCTCCCGCTGAATGGAAATTGATCTTGATCAGGAAAGAAATTGTGACTCTTATTCATACCCCCGCATGGAGCCGCAGCGCACACGGGCGGCCTCGTCACCTCTGAGGCCTGCTCACAGTATTTCTAAAAAGCATTTAGATATTTCCAGTGGATGGGTGGAGTGGAGTCTGAACACTCCTTCTCCTGGTCAGCCATCCACACCAGTCCAAGCAGGGGTTTCTTACACAAGGTCTGATCTTGGCATTTACCTGACAGAACCCCCTGTGGCTTCCATTGCCTGCCGGTTGGAGCCCAAACCCTGCATTGGCACTGAGGCCTTTCACAATTCCGGTCCAGCCTCTTCCCATTAATGACACGAACGATGACGAGTGTTTCGTATGACCCAAGCGTTCACTTTTCACGTAACCTTAGGAGACGGTGCCTTGGCTCAGTTTTCTTAGCTGTAAAATGGGGACTTTCTAAGAAAAGCATTTAGCATGATGTCAGGTGCATAGTTACCTCTCAGTTAACAGTAGCAGTTTCTGGATCTCTCTGTTTTATAGATGAAAAGGCTGAGGTTCAGGGGGCGTTAAGGAACTTGTCCAAGGCCATAACCCTGATAAGCAATGGAGCTGGAGCCTGAACCCAGGGAATCTGGTTTCAATGCCCAGACTTAGCCTAACCTTCCCCTCTGTTGCTGAAGGCCTGTGTTCAACGTAGCGCCAGCTTCCAGAGCTCACCTTAGGACGTCTCCAGGTCTTTGCACACAGGTTCCCTGGTTCCCCCTGCTGTTCGGATGCCTTGCTTCATCCTCCTCCAGGAAGCCTTCCTCCCTGCACTCCCCCCATGACCACATGAGGCAGAAGCAGATACCACCCTCTGTGACCCCTCAGCCTTTCAACAGACCTCTCTCTCCACTCTCACCTCACCAAACTGTCACGTAGATAGAGGGCACGTGCCCCCAGGGTGACAGTGTCTCTGTCACCTCTGGCTCAGCCATGCCTGACTTGGAACACACTTCTGTGAATGTTTATTGCATTTGTTGCAAATCCATCGGAGAGAGCCAGGCCAAGGGTGGTGACAGCAATACCTGCTGGCGGGGACGCCTGCTTGTTCTCAGCTGTCATGTGCACTCCAGGGCCAGGACACTCACACTTTTCTTTGGCCAGAGCCCCCTCGCTGTTGGCCAGAACTTCCAGTCCCTTGGCCCTGGCTCTCACTTTGCCGTCCAGCCTCCTTCTGAAGTTGTCCAGTGGGTGGTTCCCCTCTGCTGAGGCCTGTACCATCCAGCAGTTTGAGTGTGGAAGGCTCCTCACCTCCCCAGTTCACGTATTCAGCAAATGTTTACTGAACACTGACGTTGAGCTGGGAAAAACGTCCGGCTGGTGGAGAGTGAAGGAGGCACGGCCTCGCCTCTCAGAGCTTACATGCCCTCAGGGAGACAGTCAACCAAGAAGTACACACATCAGAGGATGTGCAGTGGCAAGTTCCTTATAAAGGCAGAGATTAAAGAATCGGGGACTTTGAGACAGGTTAACTAGTCCAGCACAGTAGTCAGGGGAGGCATCTCTGAGGAGGTGACTTTTAAGCCAAGGCCTGCAGATAGGCAGAGCTCAGCCAAGCAAAGGATAGGGGAAGAGCATTCTGGGAGAGGGAACAGCATATGCAAAGTCCGTGAGGTAGGGGCGTGGTTGGAATGTGGAAGACATGGAGGTGGGCCAGGGTAGAGAAGCACGGGCAACAAGACGGGTTAGCAAGAAATGAGGCTGGAAGTGCGGTTGAGACCAGATGAAGAAAAGCTTAGATTTTATTTTTGGAATAACAGGGTAATAGAGTGAGGCTTTTAAACCAGAAGTGATATGATATAACTTGCACATTTCAAGCTCTCTCTTGTTGCTGCTGACAACCGATTGACAAAGCAAGAGGGGAGTGAGGCGACCTGTGCAGGGCGGTGTTGTCGGGGTAGGCGATGTGATCAGTCGGGGGGATGGCTGTGGGTTCAGAGAGAAGTGAACGGACTCCAGAGATACTCAAGAAGTAAAATCACTCAGAAGTTTCCAGAATTCCAGAATTAAAAAAACAACAGAACAACTTTATTGGATGTCTGCAACATCCCCAGCAATGGGGTGGGAGTCGGGGGCACCAGAAAGGCTTGGGAATACAAACAAAAGATACAAATCTTCAACCACAGAAACAATGACATCCACATCTTTCCCCCGACAATCTCTCAGGGAGAATGAACCCAATATCATGAAGATGCTCAAAGTTCTGGACCATTTCCACCTCATTCAATGGTGTCAACAGATTCTTTCGGAGTTGGGCGCTGGAAACATGGACAGGGGATTCCTACAGTCCCACTATGAGTAAATGCCCAGGCTAGGAAGTCTCCAAACCACAGGACCAACCTGGTACCCTGGAGCAGTGAGTCACCGCCTGGGATAGCCAGGGAGAGGGAGGCGTGGAGGCGGGGTAGGGGGAGCAGGGGAGTGGGGGGAGCAGGAAGGGGAGGAACCAGAGTGGGAGGAAGAGGAAGGCGTTCTTCCTGCCTTTTGGGAGACAGGTGGAGTTGGTCTTACCCTTATGCCACCTTCCCCTTTCCACGTCCCAGTTCCTGGGAGCCTGCTGAGCCCTGCTCTCTGTCTTCCTCAGGAGCACCCCAGGCCAGGAACCCTCTCCTTGAAATGATACCCTCTCTCCTTTAGGTTCTGAGGGGCACAGGACAGCAGTCTGATGGAACTAACAGAAAGGAGCAAAAGCATTACTTGAATTCTTTATGCCTCCTTGCGGAATTTGCCTTTGCAAAAGAGCTTTCTGGGTCATTTAAATGACCTCTGTCCTCTGACCCATTTCTCTGAATGGGTCCTTTTTCCCTAGGGTTTTTGCAAACTACTTGTGAGCCTGGGGAGTCCCCTCATTTTAGACTCTGGGGAGGGCAGTTTTTTCACAGGGTGGGGGTGGGAGAATCTTCCCAGCGGTGACATTCGAAGTATTTAATAACCGGTGTGAAATAAGCACCAACAAACAATTTGCCAGCTGGCAGATCCCATGACCTTGGGTTTGCCAGGTATTAACCAGCACAGGGGTCCCCGGGGGCAAAGCCATGTGGCGGGGGACACTCAGAGCCACGCGGGGGAAGCAGGTATTTGCCATCTAGCACAGATGTGTTACCACATTTTAATAACAGGTCTGGCAACACTGGTCCTACCAATGTCAGTCCTGGGTCTGCCCCAATCTTGTCTAGACTCTGCTCTTCTGCTGGGAATGGTCGCTGGGTCATTTGTTCCCTTTAGAGGAAAAGTGGCCTGGGTCGGAGCTGGGTAATGAAATGGCTTCTGAGCAGCACCAGCTGCTTGGAATCCTGGGTGAATAGGATCTCAGGCCCTCGAGCCACTGGGTGACCTTGCAGGGCCTGGCTGCCTCTGACTGTCCTTCCTCTCGCCCCTCCTCGTGGTTATTTTCGTCCAGCCTGACAGCTCTTGGCTGTCCTAGCAGTCTGGGCTCCGTGAGCCGGATGCAAACCAGGCAGCACAAACGTCTGGTTCTGAATCCCAGGAGGATTCCGCGCTGGGCGCCATCACGTGGGAACATGGCTGTCCACACAGCGCGCCCAACAGGGACCACACGCCTGGAGGAAGGTGACAGTGCGAGAGGCCGAGAGCTGGGTTCTCTTCGCTCAATTCTGGCTCTTGTCTGAGAGCGCTGCCCCAGGCCTGGTGGTAAGGACACCCTGTCGTGGAGCCTTACTGATGCCAGGAAACCTCCCGGCTGTGTGCAGGGAACCTGTTGGTCAGCTGGAGGGTGGGAGCCTACAGCTGGGAAGAGGTGCCTTGGCCGTGGTGGGCAGTGGCAGACAGGGTTCCCAGGAAACCTCTCTGTGGCCCCTGTTCCTTTACTGTCTCAGGAAGCAAGGCGGACACCGTGTTCCAGCCCCTTCGTCCTGGGAAGGCTGCAGCCAGTCAGTCATTGCTCCTGATTGGGGGCTGATCTCTCTTGGGAAGCAGCCAGCCTCAGGCCGTTGTGCTTTTTAGGTCAAAGCTGTGTTCCCAGAACTGAGATTCATGCCTGCTGCCATGTATACAGGGTGGGAGAGGGGTCTGGGCACAGCTCTTGGGGCTCTCCCGGGACTCGTCTGTCCAGGTAAGAAGTGAGACCAAGCCTCTGAGGTCAGAGCAGCATCATGAGAGCCAGGAGGACATGCTGGGACAAGCAGTGAGGAGGGGAGATGGGCCAAAGGAGGAGGGAGCCTCCGATGGGGAAGGCGCCTTCACACGAGAGCCAGTCCAGGAGGCAGGGCAGAAGAGGCAGAGCCACTTTCAGAGCTCCTGGAAAAAGAATCTTCCTTACTCCTGGCGGGGCAGGGGGGTCCGGGGGGCCAGGGAAGACAGCTCAGAAAGCCCCGACCTGCGTGATTTCAGAGACCCAGGAGCGGCAGAGCACGGCCCCTGAGGGCCTCCCTTCCAGCCCCAGGGAAGAGGGCCTGGGGGCAGGAACAGCGGCAGGAGCAGGGGACCTCCCAACACCAGGGGATGTGGGGGGAGAAGACCGCAGGAGGGGTGGCACATGGCTGCTCCTGGCAGCCCTGCCACTGGGGACCAAGGGCAGGGGGACAGCTGGCCTCTCCAGAGGGCGGACCCTCCGGGTAGAAGATGCCCCTCGACTGGGCAGCAGACTCCTCCGGGCTGGCAGGATGGTGCCGGCGGCTCTGCGCACGGGAGCTGTTCGGAGGGCCGGGATGGGGTATGCAAGGGAGGCAGCGCTGGGGAGGACGGGGCCCGGCACTCTTCCTAGGATGGCAAGCTGGCTGCTGGGGGCTGACAGCCCTGGGCAGCTATGGAAGAAGGACCAGGGCCAGGCAGGGAAGGCCGGAGGGCTGGCAGGCGTGGGTGAAGGTTCCATCTCGGCTGCGTAGCTGTTGAGATGGGAGAGAAGGCGAATCCGGACAGGGTCTGCGCGGCTGCTGGGTCCTTCCAGGACCCCCAGGTACCTGATGACCTCGGTGAGGCACTCCCGGAAACCGATGCTCCGGAAGTCCACTGCCAGGGTTCGGGCATCAAAGAATCCTGCAAAGTGAGCTGTGATGAGGGCCTGCCCAGCAAGGGGCACGCACAATGAACCGGGGGCAGGCCGCCTGAATTCTGGACCTGCCTCCCCTCCTCACTCCCCGTGTGACTTTGGGCATGTCACCTCGCCTCTTTGAGCCCCAGTCCCTTCATCTGTAAGGTGGGAACCATCATCCCTACTGGGTTGTGAGGATCAAATGAGTTGAACTGAACTATGAAGCATTATAAAATGTAAAGTATTATTTTCAGCGCAATTTATGACTAATGCAAAGAAGAAACTGTGACCACAGTAACTTAAGTAGACATTTGCCAGGTGTGACAGGACTGTGCACGTGGCAGTATAGGACAATCCTGCCTGCTGGTGTGGGCAGATGCTGGGACACTCCTTGGAGAAGGCAGTATAGTGTAGCCATGAAGCCTGAGGTCTTTGGAGGCTACTTCACAAGCTGCCTGACCGTGGACCAGTCTCTTGACCTGTTTGTGCAACTAGTTCCTTAGCATATAACAGTGCCTGCTGCATAGAACTGTGAGGTGAAATGAAGTGAAATGGTGCTGCCCTGGCTGGTGTGGCTCAGAGGATTGAGCACTAGCCTGAGAACCAAAGGGTCCCCAGTTCGATTCCCAGTCAGGGCACATGCCTGGGTTGCAGGCCAGGTCCCCAGTAGGGGAAACATGAGAGGCAACCACACATTGATGCTTTTCTCTCTCTCTTTCTCCCTCCCTTCCTCTCTGCCTTAAAAAAAAAAAAAAAAAAAAAGGAAAGAAAGAAATGAAATGGCCAACAAAAATGCTCCTTAAGTTAAAAGTTAGCTACCATTTACAGCTTGGCCGCCGTAGGAATTCCAGTTTGTCATCCAGCAGAATGGGTCGACTGGAAAGCAGGACCCCAGCAGGACCCCGCTGTCAGCTGCTGCCATCAGGCTGGGGACCCTCTCTTTGGCAGACTTCAGAGAGGAACAACCAGGTGGACGGTCCACTGCCTCTCCACACCCGCCCTTCTCTCCATACCACCTTCCGGGCAGACACGGAAGAGCACTGGCTTCGGGACTACGGCAGCAAACACCTGGTCGCGGGCCCGCAGCTGAGGCCCTGCAGAAGGCCGGCGGGGCAGGGGACTCTGTCTGGAAGCAGGCCTCGCGGACTCTGCCGTAGGCTTGGCTGGGCTGGCTTTGACAAATCCCTTCACCTTCAGTGTTCACTGTTCTTTCTAACTAGCATTCTGAGTTCTTACTTAGCACTTAATTTGCATTATCTCAGTTAATTTTCATGAACAAAGCCCAGCATCTAAATCCAAAGCTAGCGCTCTCCACCACAGTCCTGCCTTCCCACGGGCCCTTGGCCCGAGGATGGGGGTGACCACCCGCCACCCAAGAGGGTTTTGTGAGAACCAAAAGGGATAACCCTAGTGAAAGCATTCTGAAACGATGAAATGCTGCCCCTATGTTGTCACTATTTTTCTTTTATTTGGGAAACCACAGATGCAGTTTGAAGTGCCTCTCCACCGGTTGATGAGTCACGGAAGTTTCTACTGTTGGCTAGGCATTGCTTAGACAAAAGTTCTCCGAGTGACCACCGGCATCCGGGTCATCGGGCGTGCTTCCTCGCCTTCACATTCGGCCCAGACCTACTGCCCCGGAATCGCTGGGGTGGGGCCCAGCACTCTGCCTGCCCCCGGATGGTACTGCTGCACACTGGAAGGCACCAGGTTGGGCCACTTAAAATGCAACTGTCCCCTCCAAAGGGAGTAAGTGAAGGTTTTAGGGCTTAGGACCTCGTGGCCAAGGTCTGTGGAGCTTTCCAGGTTTTCCAGTTGTGAAATCATCAAAATACACAGAGAGGCTCCATGTAGCCAAAATTTCTATTTGTCCAAAAGTCTTTTTAAAGCCATAGTTCAATGTCTTTATTGTAATAGATGAACTCAAAATTACGGAAGGAGTAACATATTTATTCTATGATAATCCCGCGCAACTGATCTTCAGCTGTGAGCATGACATATGACCCTAGCAATGCCAAGGACACAACAGCCCAGAAGGCTAGACCAGTGGTGGGTGCACTAGAGAACCATCTGTGGCTAAAAAATCCCAGGCACGCTGCTCCCACTGGGATCCCAGTGAGAATGAGCTCATGCAGGCTAATGCTTAATGAGGCCCTGGGGGCAGGGTCAGCAGAACAGTCTTTTGGAGAAGGAGTTGAGTTGAGGAAAGAGTTATGATAAATGCAGACACCGAGAGTGGAGAGGGAGGTGCCCCAAAAAGAAGAGAGACAAGCTTGTGAATGTGTTGCCTGGATCTGCTTCAGCTTCTCTACAGACTGAGCTCCATGACAGCAGGGACAACGTCTTCACTCACTCGTGTATCCCCAGGGCCCAGCCCCCAAATACTGGCTGCATAAATGACTCCCAGAAGAGTAGCACATCAGTACCTGTCCCGCCAGTGGCGTGGAGCATTTTCAAGTGATCTACCGTCATCTGCAGGACCTCAGCTTTCTCCAGCTTGGAGGAACCCTGTGTGTACAGGAGACAGAAGAGTGAAGGCTTCCAGCTGACCTGTCGCTCACCTCCCCAGCACAGCGTTACCAGCACCCACTGTCTCTGCTTCCTCATCTTCCTCCCCCTCCATCACTGCCTGCAAAGGGGCCTCTGCTTTGGCTGAGGTCTCCAAACTGAACAGATCATGCTCAGTTCTCACGTTAGTCCATTGTCCAGTGCACTGCTGACCATCTTCCCAGACACCTCTGCTCCCCTGACTTCCATGACTTCTCGGTTCTCCTTTCACCAAGCCTCTTGCTCTGCCTGCCCCTGAAAACGGTGCTGTCCTAGCCGGTGTTGGCTCACTTTCCTCTCCGCGCACACTCTCCCCAGAGGTTCTCATCTATCTCCGTGGCTTCATACACCAGCACCAGGACGCCAGTCCTGCGCTCCCACCCACCCCCTAGACCAGCTCTCTGGGGAGCCCAAGATCTAGCTCATCATCTTACCCTCCAAAGCACTTGCTTTTCCTCTATTCTCTTTCTTGGAAAGTGTTTTTGAAGCCACCAGCATCACCTGGTCTCCCAGGTGAAACCTGAGGGTCAGATTCGCCGTGTGAGCCCTTTGAGGGCAGGTGGCAGGTCTGGTTCATGGCTGGTCTTGCGAAGGTTTCAGTGGAAGTCTGTGGAATGACTGGCTCGTTCTCACCAGCAGAAGGGAGAACACGTGACCTAGAACCATGCTTTGGAACACGAGGGGAGAGGCTCTGGGGCCATCTAACTAGGGCAACCATCTGACCCCCACTGCCGCCTCTCCACTCTAACATGCTCACTGTCAGAGTGCGCACTCCCTGAGCAGCCTGTTCCATGTTCCAGTAGCTTTGGAAATGTCAGTAGTGTAGAAGGTTAGGGCACTTTGGAATCACAGAGCTCTGTATTCCAGTTCTGCTCTGCTGTTTACTGGTTGTGTGACCTGGTGTAAGTTACTTCACCTCTCTGTGCTTCAGTTTCCTTACCTGTGCAATGGGCATAATAATGCCTACTCTCCAGGATCATTTTGAGGATTCAATTAAGTGAAGTAGTAGACATAAAGCCACGACACCTGAGATACCTCAATAAATAGAAATTTCCATTCCCCTCATCCCTGGCCAGTGACAGATATCGGTAAATGATATCACAGGACTGCAGACAGTTGCTACCAATCAATAAGAGATGCCATGAGCCACGAACCCCATCTGCCACTCACACAGGTTTCCTCCAGCACAATCAGCAACGCCACATACCTGCTTCTCAAAGGCGGTGGGGACCAAGCGCCGCAATTCAGAAAGGCTGCTGTTGATGCGGTCTCGGCGCCGTTTCTCTATGATCTAAAAGACAATGACAAGAATTTACACATAAGCTCTTCAATGTCAGTTCAACATGCCTTTTTTTAAAAAAAAAAGACTTCATTTAATTTTTAGAGAGAGGGGAAGGGAAGGAGAAAGAGAGGGAGAGAAACATTGTATATGAGAAAAACATCATGATCGTTTGTATCCCACACACCACCAAATCAGGGACCCTCCCAACAGCCGCCCCCACCCCCAGCCACAACCCACGCGTGTGCCCTAACCAGGAACCAAACCAGTGACCTTTCAGTTCACAGGCCTGTGCTCAATCCACTGAGCCATACCAGCCAGGGCTCAATACGCCTTGATGGACACTGACTCATATTTTCCTTTACAATATTTTTGTGAGGGAGATAAATCTATTCTTACTTTATGGACGAGGAAACTGAGGCTCAGAGAGAGGCAGTGACTTGTTTAAGGTCACACAGCAAGGAATTGTAAAGTTGGGAGAACTCACATCTCTTGTCTTGGTCTGTAGTGGAGGCCATTCAAAACATTTAACCCCTGGTACAGCACCAACCAATCAAAACAGGGACCAGCCACAGCCCTGGAGCAGACCCCGGAGAACCCCTGCTGGGCCAGGAGTACCCCTTCGCATGCTGGGTCATGAGGTCAGAGGAGGCTTAGGCATCACCCTCTCCAGCTGTGAAGGCCTTTCATTCACACGCTCTCATTTTCATCTCACAATACTGGTAGCAGAACACTGACAGCAGGGCATAAATTATGAGTCCCATTTTACCAGTAGAGACATGAGGGCTGCCCTGGCTGATGTGGCTCAGTGGATTGAGTGCCAGCCTGCGAACCAGAGAGTCGTGGGTTCGATTCCCAGTCAGGGCACAGGCCTGGGTTGCAGGCCAGGCGCCCAGTAGGGGGCGCATGAGAAACAACCACACGTTGTTGTTTCTCTCCCTCTCTTCCTCCCTCCTTTCTCCTTTTTCTAAAAATTAAATAAATAAAATCTTTAAAAAAAAAAAAAGAAAATAAGGGCTGGACAGACAGTTTCCTGATTAGTGAATCACAAGGCTGGTCTCTGCCAGGTCCCAGGTCTCTAGACTCCACACAGCTGCATCTTGGGGGGAAGTGGGGCTGGGACAAGATGGCCAACCGCAAGCAGGGGGCCTCCTTCTTCTGTCCCCCCACCCCCACCCCTCGGGGCACGGAGAAAAAATGAAAGTTCTGGGCTCAGAGGGAAGAGGAGGAAGGCTAGAATAAATAAGAGTGGCTAATTGTGTCATGTACTGTTCTGAGTGTGTTACATTAATTCCCTTAATCTTCAAAACAACACTTTGAGATGGGTACTGTCATTATTTCAGTGACACAGTTGAGGAAATGAGGCACAGAGAGGGTAAGTGTCTTGCCCAAAGTCATCCCGCTAGCTCTTTGCAGAGCCAGGATTTGAACCCAGACAGCCTCTCTTGGGGTGATGTTTCTGACCAGGTTTCTTGAGGTTGGGGCCCTAGGGACACAGGGTAAACCTCTGGTTTGGGCAACTCTGCTGGGACACTCACCCCTCTGCGTTTCTTCCTGGCTTGCATCTGAGAAGGGCTGGGGGTGGACAGCGGCCTGGCCATCTGGCTGGAGAGGAAGAGAAAGGCCAACTCTCAGAGCTGGGGACCATCGCCCGGGCCTGGGTTGACCTCTGGGCGAGCACAGCCCCCTACCGGGCGGCTGTGGTCTCCCAGGCTGGAAGGAAGCACAGAGCAGGCGTGGGAGGGGACGCAGCCTCTCCCTTCTCCCTGGGGCGGGGGGAGTTGGCGGGGCGGGGGCGGGGGGTACGCGTTTCTCCCTGGGCCAAGTGCTTCCCAGCACTCGGTTAACTGTCCCGGGGCAGCTGGGGGCAGAGGGGGGCTTGGGTCTCACCTCTGCCCTTGCCCCACGCCCCCTCCCCCGCTGCGGGCTGCTAGGGGGCGGGCATCGGAAAGGCCTCTGGCCACTCTGGCTCCTGCAACGCGATCCCGGGCGGGGCGGGCGAGGGCACGGGCCAGCGGCGGCGGGCGGCCGGCGGGTTGGGTTTCAGAAGGAGCCGCTGGGAATCAGCGTGGAAAGAGCAGATGCCGCTGCTTCCCACGGGCCGGGCGCGCCGGCTGTCCGCCCTCCGCTGCGGCTGCAGCTGCCGCCACCTCCCACGCAGCGCGGCTGGGGACGAGGGGGAGCGGCATCTGGGTCACAGGCCCCTCTCAGGACCCTGGGGACACTCCCCTGCTGCCCACCCCTCCCCCGAAAAGGCCCCAGATCAGCATCTCGTCGGCCCCGCTCCAAAGGCCTGGCTAAAGGAAGGATATTTGTTCACACCCCAGGAGTTCTTATCACAGGGAAGACGCTCAGCCCTGGGGGCTTTCCCTGCCTGGACGGACCCAAATCTTCCCCAACTGCTCGCCCTCTTAACGGTTTCCTGCTTCAGAGGCCCTTTTGGAATGGAGGGCATTTGCTGGGTTGCACTGAGGATCCTTAACTTGCCAAAACCCGAGAGGTCCCACTCAGGCCCAGGGCTGGACTGGATGGGTCAGCCAGGCCCCACCCTCCAGACACTCACCTTTATGGAGAAACACCAGGGCCAGGTCAACAAACAACCTGAGACAAGGTGACTCCCCTCTCATTTCAAATGTGAAATGCCACCCTCCTGAACAGGACCCCCTGAGCTTGCCTCCACCTCACACTCCTCTTCCTCCTGGGTTCCTGTCTCAGCCGAGCCAGCCAGCCTCCCAGTCCTGCAAGGGGGACACCTGGCCACTGTCCTGGATTCCTCCGTGGTCCTCACCCCACCTTTTCAATCCTAAAATACATCTCACATTTGTCCTCCGCATCTCTACTGCCAGTCTCAGGACCAAGACTCTATCATCTTTCTTTCTTTGTCTTTTATTTTAAAAAAATATGTTTATTGATTTTAGAGAAAGAGAAACATTGATTTGTTGCCTCCCATATGTGCCCTGACTGTGGATTGGATCTACAACCTAGGTATGTGCCCTGACTGGGAATCGAATCCCCAAGATTTTGGTGTACTGGACGATGCTCAACCAACTGAGCCACACCAGCAAGGGCAAGCCTCTAGCAGCCTGTATCTGGACAACGGCAGGAGTCTAGTGTTGGGCCCCTTGGTACCCATTTCTCCCTATCAGGGGGCAGAATGATCATTTCAATGCAAATCTGATCTCGTCTTTCTTAAAACTCCTCAGGGGTTTTCCCAGTGTTTTTAGGATCAAGGCCACGGTCTTTCACGTGGCCCAGCCAGCCCCCCCCCCCGCCCCCCCCCCCCCCCAGTCACCTCCTTGACACAACTCCTTTGCTCTGTGTGCCTCTTCCTGTGGTTGCACATACTGTTCCCCCAGGCTAGAATTCTCTGGCCCACCCTGTCTCTCCACCCCCAAGCTCCAGCCCTGTTGCCTAATAATTTATACCACTCTCAGGTCTCAGCTCAAATGTCACCTTCCTGGGGAAGACTTTTCTGACATCCCCCCTCCTACTAAGTACATATCCCTTACTGTACACTCTCCCAACATCCTGCATTCACAGCATTTATGCCCAGCATCCTGCATTCACAGCATTTATGCCCTTTTGTTGTTTTATATTTACACAATTATTTGGTTAATAATGTCTGTCTCTCCAACAAGCTTGTAAGCTCCATGAGGTCATGACCCCTGTCTGTCTCATTCACTCCTGTGGCCCCCACCCCACACTCCTCCCCCCAGCAAGTGCTTGGAAGAGCTCACGGCTGAGCTCTTTCTGCCCTCATCTTTGGCATTACTGGGAAACAGAGAGGTGACACCATAAAATCTACGTCCTAGACCTCTGTGGAATGGAGGCACATGTGGCTCACCAGGAAGGTCCCAGTCCAGTCCCCCCAGTTACTCTTCTTGGCATCAGAGGTTGAATTATTTTCATCAACTGCTCAAAGAGAGAAGGTTGCAGGAGGGACCAGATCAACATTTGTCAAATCCTGCTGCTACACCCTGGCTTTGGGCAGCCACATCTGGAAAAGGATATGTCCATCCAAACATCTGGACAAGAAGGGCTGGTAAAAGACCAGCAAAAGCTCCTGGGAGGGATGGCCCAGCAAGCTAGGTTCAGGGATCACATGGCCAGATCCTGAGATCTGTAGGGCAGCTTGTTTACAGAGCTTCACTGAGGACAAGCCCCAAGAGCCCGGGTTTGCTAAGAAACCCAGCCTTTGTCCCCCCAGGCTGGATAAGGCATCTCTAGGGGTATTGGGTTAGCTTTGCCCACGTCACTGCCTCTGAGCCTGATCCCTCCTCAGGGACCATCCGTTGGAGGCTGATGCACCCCTTTCAAGGCAGGTGGCTCTGTCATCTTTCTCCGTCTCCTGGTCCCTTGTTCTCTGCAGTGTTATCCCACTCCCATATCTAACAGGCAAACCTCACTTCACAGTTTTCCTGGCATCGCTGTGTGCATTTCCCTCCTGTGACCCTAACAAAAGCCCCATTTTACAGAGGAGGATGCTGAGGCTCAGGAGCTAAGGCAGCTTGCCCAGCCTACGCAGCTGCTAACAAGTAAAGCCAGCATGGGAATCCATGTCTTCTGGCTCCAGATTCAGCATTGTTTTCCTTCTTAATTCCCATTTCCTGTATGTCTGAATAGCCCTCCAGTCCCCTTATCCTTAAAGCTCCCCAGAGCTCAGCCTGCACTCACTTCCAAGCTCTGATCTGGCCCTGACACTGACAGGGAGGAGATGTGAGAGCTTCTTGGCTGAGAGTCTGAAACTAAGGCAGATTTTCACAGACCCAGAGAAGATATGTTGACCACCAAGATCTGCTTCATGGACCTCGAGTGGTCCCTAGCCAGAATACTGGGGTGGTCTCTTGGGTTGGGGGCAGTTTTCTAGGTGGTCTGGCTGCCGGTCCTGACCACCCTTAGTGCTTACTCTCCGTTTCCCCTTGGGAATTCCACTGTGGTCCCTTGTAGATAATCCCACTCATTTTGCATCAACCAAAGGCAGAGAATCACAATGTCCCCAATGAAGGGATTTTAGACAGCACTGAGCCCCCTGGTAAGATGAAGAAACACAGAGAGGGGAAGGGATCTGCTCCAGGCCACACAGCAAATTAGAGGAAATTCCAAGTCTACTGGCTTTTAATCTATTGTTCTTCCCAACGCACCCCATATATTCATCGTCACATCTTGTAAATCTCATAGCCAGTACTTTTTGTCCTAGACAGCATTTCTCATTTATTGCATAATAGCTCTGTGAATTAAGTATTATTGGGGCCATTTCAGATTTAGGAAAAATAATTATTTGATAGATGGAGTGCCAAAGACAGAGAGTTAAGAATCATGCCTAGCCCTCAGTTGGCTGGAGTATCGTTCCATCCCGTGCACCAGAAGGTTGCAGGTTTCATCCACGGTCAGGGCACATACCGGGCTGCAGGTTTGATCCCTCAGTGGGGGTGCATACAAGAGGCACACAATCGATGTTTCTCTCTTACATCAATGTTTCTCTTGCTCTCCCTGCCCCCACCCCCTGCCCAGTTCCTCTCTCTCTAAAATTCATTAAAAAAGACAAACAAGCATATCCTTGGGTAAGGATTAAAAAAAAAGAATGATGCCCAATAAATCCAGTCTTCAGCCTTCCAGTCTTTTCATTAGACTGTGTGACCTCATGAACATGTACCCTCCAACTGAAAGGCAACCCATTAGAGAACAGCATTAACTGGAAGTTACTTTGTGCCAAGACAGGGAGACATGATTTGGGTTCATTACTTCATCAAAGCCTCACCCTGTGAGGTAGGTATTAGCATCCCCATTTCGTAAGGGAGAAAACTGAGGTTCAGAAATGTCCATGTTAATGGCGGCGAGCGTCAAACTCAGGTCCATCTAACTTCAAAGGTTACCATGTGCCTTAAATCACGTAGGAACAATCCAGAGGCATTGACCCAGTGCCTGGCATGTGGCAGGTGCCCATTAAATGTTTGCAGAGGGGAAGGGGAAGCTATATTTTCAGTTCAGCCCCAGCATGTGTAAGGAGGCTGGGTTCAGATAGGAGCTCTGTGGGCGATTCACACAGATGGGGCAGGGTACCACCGCCGGGCAGATGCCCACATGACACGGAACACACTCAGCTCTTTACTCTCACATCTCTAAGTGAGGGGGGTTTGCGCCCTGCCTTTGACCTCCAGGGAGGCTGGCTACCCCAGTCCCGTGGCCCTTGCCACTGTTTATCTGGCTGTCTTTGTACATGAAGCTCCTCTTCTCTGAGAGTTCCCTGAGGGCAGAGGCTGAGCAGGATACATCTGGGCCCCCCACGCCCAGCCCAGGGTCTGGGCCACAGCAGGCAGCGTTCAGTGATCCCTGAATTGAAGCATTGATGTCTGCTGGGGGGAGGGCCCTTTGGTGAGTGCTACAAAGAGGGGTCTATAAGTCAGCTCTGCCAGATGTCCAACTGCTTTCTCTCTTCGGATGGGGTCTGCTCCTCTAAGAATTGACATAGTCTCTCAAAATGGGCTCTGGCCGAAAGGACAAACTCCTGCAAAGGAAGAAACTGCCCATTGATCCTTTAGGCCACAGCCCAAATGCCACCACCTTCAAGAAGCCCTCCCTGCTGCCTTCGGTTATAAGTGACCTCTCCCGGCTTGGGTGCCCTCACAGCCTATAGGCTGTCTCTCCTTCCATCATCTGTGCTGTCCATGGGCTTTGTGTAACCTGACACGTCACTGGCCAGAATGCAAATTATTGAAATACAGAATCCAGCTCTGATCAGCCTAGCTTTCCGGTGTCAGTCTTGTACCTCTGATTCATGAAAACCTAGTGACATTGAATTTGAGACCCTCCTCCACCACCACCACGTGGTGCTCCTAGCAGGCGCAGACTCAGAGAATTGCTTCTCTAAAGAGCAGTTTCTGCTAAACAACTTAAAAAGGATACCATGTTGGCTCGGTGGCTTGGTTGGTTGGAGCGTCATCCTGCACACCAAAGGGTTGTAGGTTCGATCCCCAGTCAGGGCACAACCTAGGTTGCAGATTCAATCTCCTGTCAGGGTGCCTACGGGAGGCAACTAATCAATATTTCTCTCTCACATTGATGCTTCTTTCACTCTCTCTTTTTCTCCCTTCCTCTTTCTCTAAAATTAATAAGCATACCCTTGGGTGAGGAATTTTTTTTTAAATGCTACTAAGTTGCATGGAAATTATATTATATACCCCAAAACCTAACATACAGGATGCAAGGAGAATATCTATTGCCTTACTGCCAATTATAAGCTATGAATAATTGAAAGCTGGTGGAATTTTACTAGGATTTGTGATTGAGGCAGGATCCCCTGGTCTCCGAAACTGGAGATCATTGAAATTATGAAATACCCTCAAAAGCATCCCTAAGAATAAACTGAACCCCCTCCCCTCCGCCTCCAATTCTATTCTAGAGATTTAGATTTGGATGAGCCAGGAGAGATCAGAGAGTCCTTTCTGTCCTCCCAATTTTACTGCTGAGGAAACAGACTCGCAAAGGGAAAGCAATGGCCCAAGGTCACATGATCAGCTGGTGGAAGATTCGGGGCTGGGATCCAGGCCTGCAGACTCCCAGTCAGACCCTGCTGTTCTTTCAGAGCTTTGGTGTCATGTGCTGGGTGCCTGACACTAATTAAGCATTTGTTGCGCTGGGCCCTATTCTGAGCCCTTGACATATACGATCTCATTTGATTTTCCCAGTATTCCCATGAGGTTGGGTCTATTATTTATACTCATTTTGCAGACAAGGAAACTGAAGTTTAGGTTGTTCAGAGAAGGGAAGTAGTAGAACTATCTGCGTGTAGTTTGTTCTACAGGTCTGAAGTGGCTCAGAATATTTATCAAGAGCGGAAAGACATTGGCAGCAGGGCCCGGGAATTGGAGCCTAGGCCTGTGCACTGGCCCTGCGCAGGTCAGCTATTATTTTCTTCAATATTGAAACCTTATATCAAAGTCCACTGTGCTCAAGGGACAGAAGTCTTTCTTCTCCTAGAAGCTTTCTGTGTACTATATGAAAAGTGCACCCGAGTTAAGGTAAAATTGGGAAAGGGTGGTTGTTCTGTATGGTCAGCGGATTCCGGATAGGGGGTATGGTGCCAATAGCCTATGGAGGGTTTTCCTAAGAGTTTCGGGGAGAAAAACTCCTGCCAATAGCCTCACTTGGGCACTTCGACAGAAAGAGATCACCAGCTGGACATCAGACCCGAGCTGAACGCTACCTCCGTCCCAGCATCCCAGTATCCCAGCATCCCGAGCCCTAAATGGCCGAGGGCGCACAGGACCCGAGGCCCTCATGCGTGTAACCGCACACACTGCACCCCCCCAACCCCACCCCCGCCCCCTTACACACACCTGCGGGCCACCTCCCACACCTGCGTCTCCGGAGAGGGCAACGAACTAGTCTCGGCCCGTGCAGAGTCCGGCGGCGCGTCCAGTCCCTAATCCCGGCTCTTACCTAAACTCTCCCTCGCGGCCCACGTCGATGGGTCCGTCGGACTCGCTGTCGGAGCCGCTCGGCTCCCTTGGCCGCTTCATGGTGAGAGCAGGCTGCCAGGTCTCTGCCTGGTGGTGCCGGCTCCCAGCCTGGAAGTCGGCCCGCCTCGGCCACGCCCCGGCCCCGCCCCGGGGGCGCCGCCACCGCCCTTTCCCAGGGCCCTTTTCCGCGCCGTAGCCCCTGGCGTTCAGGCGCCCCCTCGCCCCCGCGGTGACGCGCAGGTCAAGCCGTGGGAAGGCCCCCGGCGGTCACCGCCCCCACCGACGGCTGGGAGGTCTGGCTCCGCTCCGCCGCCTCGGCCGCAGCGCGCTGGGTGGCCTTGGGCAGGTGCCCTTGGAGGCCTCCAGGGGAGTCCAGGAGTCCCTGTCTGTCCCCAGTTTGCTCGGACGCTGCCCATTTGTGGAGGTGTCGCTCCCCGATGCACCAGCTTGTGCAAAGGTCGACCCCGCTGGCTCCAGCCTTGGGGTTCTGCGGGGAACCAACACGTCTGTTTTGGTATGGGTTGGTGGGGGTGGCTGTGGTCTGATCATGGACAAGAATCCCTCAGTAGCTTCTTCCACACGGGTCCAAAGCAAATGGAATGTGTGTGCGTGCACGCGGGGGTGGGGTGGGGTAGGTGTGTGGGAGTGTGGTCAGACCTGTGAGAGGTGGCTGTCATCCCTAAAAGGAATGGCTGTGGTTGTGGCTGCGCCACCAGAGCAGGGCCGGCTCTGGCCAAGGTTCCCGAAGACCTGGCTGGATGGTGGTGGCAGCGGTTGTCCCTGGGAATCAGTTCCCAGTTCACCAGATTCAGAGCTGTCCTAGAAAGCCAAGAGCACCAGGAGAGGGCTCATTCTGAAGCTGTGGCAGGCCTCAAAAGGGCGGCCTACCCCCAACACCAAACTGCTCACTCAGTGAGGGCTCCAGCCCCTAGAGAGGAGGACTCAGAGAAGACTCAGAGATTTAGCCCTGGCTGATGTGGCTCAGTGGATTGAGTGCTGGCCTGCAAACCAGAAGATTGCCAGCTCCATTCCCAGTCAGGGCACATGCCTGGGTTGCGGGCCAGGTTCCCAGTAGGGGGCACAAGAGGGGCAACCACACATTGATATTTCTCTTCCTCCTTTTCCCCCTCCCTCGTCATCTCTAAAAATAAGTAAATAAAATATTTAAAAAAAAAAGACTCTCAGAGATTCACCTGCCATTTCATGGGCCAGTACCAAGAAGAGGAGGCAAAGAGGAGGCAGGGAGGAGGAGTCGAGAAGATGGGCTTGATGGGGTGACTCTGAGTCAGAGAAGCCCTTCCCTTTGACCCACCCACCAGGACCCAGAGAAAGCCACCCCTTCATTTGGACAATGGGGTTAGTCATCTGAGTATGACTGCACTTTCACCGTCACAGCAAGACCTGCTTGGAGACAGACACTTGATAATGGTGGTAGGAAAGAGTATTCCAATGCCCTCTTCCACACACGTCCACAGACATGACAACCACTTGACCAAGTACACAAACACATGTATGCAGACACGCGCTGATACACAGCCGGCATGAGCAGTCAGGACCTACGGCCTGTGCTTCCTTGGGTGGCTCTGGTGGTCACACCAGACACACCTCTGAACTCTTCGGACGAATGTCTTCAGCACTCACATAACCTCTGTAGGCACACACCAGTGGAGTGGAAACCTCAAGCAATATACAAGTTGCTCAATCCATGCACTGTGCATTCCCTGGAAAGGCCGAAATCATGACTCCCAGTTATCTGTCCTGTGTGAGCAGATTTTCAGGGGGAAGGTCAAGGGTTGTGCTATGGGTACCTTCATGTGAGATGGCCTGGGTCATCAAAATGGGGTGCACAATTACACAGGGATTCTGGACCTCAGAAAAGAGGTCTAAGCTGGATATGTAAATTTGGAAGTCATTAGATAAGAGGGAGCACTTAAACTCTGGGAGGAGACATTACCTAGAGGGAGAGTGTGGATGGAGACAGAGGAGGGGCCTACCTGAACAGCTAACATTTGGTAAGCACTACAAAAACACCTGAAACTCTTTTGTAAGTGTTAACTCATTTAATCCTTAACAACTCTATAAAGTAGTAATATTATCCCCACTTAACAGATGAGAAACAGAGGTACAGAAAAGTGAAGTATTTCTACTTAAGATGGGCAGGTAGTAAAATGGAAGGGCTGGAATTCAACAAGGCGGTGTGGTCCCAGAGCCAATGTATTAGGCTTTATGACCTCATACAGCTCTTAAACATGAGGATATATTATCTACTACTGAGCCTAGAGCTATGCCATCAATACAATAGTCATGAGACACATGTGACTTCTAGACACTTGAAATGTAGCTGGACTAAATTGTTATATGTCGTAAATGTGAAATATACACCAGATTTTTTTTAAAGGAAAGAATTAAAATATCTCATTGATTTTTATAATAAAGATTATATGTTGAAATGATAATATTTTATACCTATTGGATTTAATAAAATATATTATTAAAATTAACTTCAGCCCTGGCTAGTGTGGCTGCGTGGATTGAGTGCCACCCTGTGAAACAAAAGGTCACTAGTTTGATTCCTGGTGGGGGCACATGCCTGGGTTGCAGGCCAGGTTCCCAATAAGGAGCGTATGAGAGTTAAAACATTTGTGTTTCCCTCTCTGCTTCCCTTCATCTCTCTCCAAAAATAAGTAAATAAAATCTTTTAAAAAATTGTTTAAAAATTAACTTCACTTGTTTTCTCTTTAGTATGTTTAATGTGGCTATGGGAAATATTTAATTGTATATGCAGCTCCCATTCTATTTCTATTGGACTGTGCTAATCTAGTGCAGGGTCTCTTAACTTCAACATCACTGACATTTTGGCCTGGGAAACTGTTTACTGTATGGAGCTGTTTTGTGCATTGTAGAAGTCTGGCAACATCTCTGGCCTCTACCCACTAAATGCCAGAAGTACCTGCTTCAGTCGTGCAATTTAAAATGTCTCTAATAACAAATGTTCCCTAGAGAAATCACCCTTGGTTGAGAATTACTGACCTAGAGAAACTCCAGATTTAGACATTGAGCAGAAGAGAAAGCTGTCAGAGGATATTGGGAGGTGGAGGGGAGCAAGACAGGGTGTTGCAGGAGCCAAAAGAGTGTTTTGAGTACTTGATCATAATCCTTTAAAATGTTAGTCAGATCATGTCACTTCTTAAAAAAAAAAAAAGATTTTATTTATTTATTTTTAGAGAGAGGGGAAGGGAGGGAGAAGGAGAGGGAGAGAAACATCAGTCAGTTGCCTCTTGTGCACCCCCCATTGGGGACCTGGCCTGCAACCCAGACATGTGCACTTACTGGGAATCGAACCAGCAACCCTTTGGTTCACAAGCTGGCGCTCAATCCACTGAGCCACACCACCCAGGGCAGATCATGTCACTTCTTCTTAAAACCATCTATAGGCTTCCTATCACATTAACAATAAAATGCCAACTGCTTCCCATGGCCTATATGTAGGGTGACTATATAATTTATCATTTAATCCTGGGGCACCTTTGCAGGTGAAAGGAGGCAATACTAATAACTATGCTGGGACAGTCCAGGGCACACTGGGTGTGTGGTCACTCTAAGCTCTGGCCCCTGCTCCTGCCTTGCGCACTCAGCTACTAGAGTCTTCTTGCCATTCCACTAGTAGTTCATGCTTGTTTGCATTTGGTGTTTCTTCTACCTGGAATCCTCTTCTGGTGTTTGCTTCGGCAGAACATGTGCTAAAACTTCAATCCCCTTCACCTAGATCTCAGATGATCTCATTCCATGCAAGTCTTTGCTCAAATGTTATATCTTCAGCAAGGACTCTCTTGACCCCCTACCTAACGTAGCCACCAATCCCCCAATCACTCTGCACCCCCCACCTAACTTTATTTCACAATACAGCATTATCACTATCATTGATATTATACGTGTTGATATGTGTGTTTATTTTCCCTGCCCCCCACCAGAAGATAAACTCATTGAGGGTAGAGATTTGTCTCTTCTCTTCAGGGCTGACTCTCCAGCACCCAGCACAACACCTGGCATGTAGTAGGTGTGCAATAAATACTTGCTGGCAGAATAAACTAATTTAAGAAGCTTGACAGATGGGAAAGTACACTAGAAGAATAGCTGGAGGGAAATGTGGAATCCAGGCTGTGTTTGCTTTTGCTTTGTTTTGTTTTAGATGGGAAAGGGTGGGGCATTGATCAAGCTCCGGAAAACCAGAACTCCATGGGATTTTTATTAAAAGGCTTCCACATTGTGAAGTTCTTGGGGGCAAAATCTTTTATTTTTTTACTTTTTTTTTCTTTTTTCATTTTTGGAGAGAGGGGGAGAGAAGGAGAAAGAAAAGGAGAAAAACATTAATGGAAGAGAGAAACATCAATCCGATGCCTCTCACATGAGCCCAGACCAGAGACCAAACCAGAAACACCAGAAACTTGGCATGTTCCCTGACCAGGAATCAAACAGGTGACCTTTTGCCTTGAAGGATGACCCAGGGCAAGGCGGGGGATGGGAGGGGGCAGGAATCATTTTCGTTGTTCATTATTATGTTCCTTAATGCCTAGTGAAATGTCTACATATAGTAAGCATTTAAAATTTTTGTGAAATAAATAAATAAACAACACAAAAATAAAAATAAAATTTTATTGCACTTACCATGTATCAGGCATTGTACTGTGGGGCATACATTAACTCATTTAAATCTCATAACAACCTATACTAGAGGTTGCTGTTATTATCTATTATAATCTCATTGAATGAGACATAGGGAAGTTAAGTAACTTACCAGGATGACACAGATAGTAGGTGGTAGAGCTGGGACTCTAACCAGGCAGATTGGCACTCAAATTCATGCTGGTAACCCCTGCATCATGCCTTAGAGTGGGGTAGACCAATCAGGGGACTCGTACAATAGGCCAGGCAATTGGGACTGATTTAAAGGAGCTGAAGAGGGAAGAGATTCAAGCGATGCTGAGGTCTTGTCTGGGTGACTGCGTATGTGAAGGTGACAGGCACCAATGGGAGACTCGGGAGAAGGTGAAACGTTCAGTGTGGCCATGCTGTTTGTGAGACCCAGGGCATACGCAGGA